TGGTGGTCACCAACTGAAGCTGAGACCATACGAGTACACAGGGTTGGGTATTCTTCAGTCATAGAGTTGTCGAGCAATGGATAGCTAGCAAGTGACCAGCTAGTGTGGGTAGAACACATACATGTTTTACACGACAGTGGTGTAAACACTCACTACAGAGAGAGGGGGTCACCCACGTAGCATACAGTGAGTGGCGGGCCCCAGGAGTGGGTCACCCCTCATACCACATTGGTGTAGTACACAGAGGTGGGTCACCCACTGCACTACACAGTTGGTGGGTCACAGTAACGACTACACAGTAGGTGGGTAATAAAAAGGTACAGAGTGGTGGTCCACCCAAACACGGGACAGGGTGGGTCACCACTGCAAGCTAAACCAGACGGTCGGGACGTCAAACGATTCTTCATACACAGAGTGGTCACCCACTACACTGAAGTAGTGGTGGGTCACCATACATATTAAGGGTGGTGACCAACTAAACACAGGGTGGGACCCATACGACGTACACTGCCAGGGCTGGTCTCACCCCTGCACTACACAGTGGTGGGTCACATTATGAGTACAGTGGTGGGTCACCCACTATACAGTGGTGGGTCACCCACTACACTACACAGTGGTGGGTCACCCACTACACTACACAGTGGTGGGTCACCCAGTACACTACACAGTGGTGGGTCACCCACTGCACTACACAGTGGTGGGTCACCCACTACACTACACAGTGGTGGGTCACCCACTACACTACACAGTGGGTCACCCACTGCACTACACAGTGGTGCGTCACCCACACTACACAGTGGTGGGTCACCCACTACACTACAGTGGTGGGTCACCCACTACACTACACAGTGGTGGGTCACCCACTGCACTACACAGTGGTGGGTCACCCACTACACTACACAGTGGTGGGTCACCCACTACACTACACAGTGGTGGGTCACCCACTGCACTACACAGTGGTGGGTCACCCACTGCACTACACAGTGGTGGGTCACCCACTACACTACACAGTGGTGGGTCACCCACTACACTACAGTGGTGGGTCACCCACTACACTACACAGTGGTGGGTCACGCACTACACTACACAGTGGTGGGTCACCCACTACACTACACAGTGGTGGGTCACCCACTACACTACACAGTGGTGGGTCACCCACTACACTACACAGTGGTGGGTCACCCACTACACTACACAGTGGTGGGTCACCCACTACACTACAGTGGTGGGTCACCCACTGCACTACACAGTGGTGGGTCACCCACTACACTACACAGTGGTGGGTCACCCACTACACTACACGGTGGTGGGTCACCCACTACACTACACAGTGGTGGGTCACCCACTACACTACACAGTGGTGGGTCACCCACTACACTACACAGTGGTGGGTCACCCACTACACTACACAGTGGTGGGTCACCCACTACACTACACAGATGTCAGGGGAGACATGATAACGACATACAAGATACTGCGGGGAATAGACAAGGTGGACAGAGATAGGATGTTCCAGAGAGGGGACACAGGGACAAGGGGTCACAACTGGAAGCTGAAGACTCAGACGAGTCACAGGGACGTTAGGAAGTATTTCTTCAGTCATAGAGTTGTCAGCAAGTGGAATAGCCTAGCAAGTGAAGTAGTGGAGGCAGGAACCATACATAGTTTTAAGAAGAGGTATGACAAAGCTCAGGAAGCAGAGAGAGAGAGGATCCAGTAGCGATCAGTGAAGAGGCGGGGCCAGGAGCTGAGTCTCGACCCCTGCAACCACAATTAGGTGAGTACAATTAGGTGAGTACAGAGGTGGGTCACCCACTACACTACACAGTGGTGGGTCACCCACTACACTACACAGGTGGTCACCACTACACTACACAGTGGTGGGTCACCCACTACACTACACAGTGGTGGGTCACCCACTGCACTACACAGTGGTGGGTCACCCACTGCACTACACAGTGGTGGGTCACCCACTACACTACACAGTGGTGGGTCACCCACTACACTACACAGTGGTGGGTCACCCACTACACTAGTGGTGGGTCACCCACTACACTAGTGGTGGGTCACCCACTACACTAGTGGTGGGTCACCCACTACACTAGTGGTGGGTCACCCACTACACTACACTAGTGGTGGGTCACCCTCCCTACACAGTGGTGGGTCACCCACTGCACTACACAGTGGTGGGTCACCCACTACACTAGTGGTGGGTCACCCTCACTACACTAGTGGTGGGTCACCCACTACACACAGTGGTGGGTCACCAGCACTACACTAGTGGTGGGTCACCCACCTACACTACACAGTGGTGGGTCACCCACTGCACTAGTGGTGGGTCCCCCAAACCTACACAGTGGTGGGTCACCCACTAAAACTAGTGGTGGGTCACCCACTGCACTACACAGTGGTGGGTCACCCACTCACTACACAGTGGTGGGTCACCCACTACACTACACATTTGTGGGTCACCCACTACACTACACAGTGGTGGGTCACCCACTACACTACACAGTGGTGGGTCACCCACTACACTACACAGTGGTGGGTCACCCACTACACTACACAGTGGTGGGTCACCCACTACACTACACGGTGGTGGGTCACCCACTACACTACACGGTGGTGGGTCACCCACTACACTACACGGTGGTGGGTCACCCACTACACTACACGGTGGTGGGTCACCCACTACACTACACGGTGGTGGGTCACCCACTACACTACAGTGGTGGGTCACCCACTACACTACACAGTGGTGGGTCACCCACTACACTACACAGTGGTGGGTCACCCACTACACTACACAGTGGTGGGTCACCCACTACACTACACAGTGGTGGGTCACCCACTACACTACACAGTGGTGGGTCACCCACTACACTACACAGTGGTGGGTCACCCACTACACTACACAGTGGTGGGTCACCCACTACACTACACAGTGGTGGGTCACCCACTACACTACACAGAGGGTGGGGCACCCATACACATACAAGTGGTGGGCACCATAGCAGGTACAAGTGGATGTTCCCGAGTGACACAGACAGTGGTGGTCCCCCACAATCAAGTGACACTCAGACATACACGGGTGGTTTGGGTACTCACTTACAGTCACAGTGGTGTCACCATAACTACAAGTGGAGTGGAGCACCCACCATACATAGTCAGAAGGGGTTTGGGTCCCAACTACAGAACAGAAGGAGGGCCCACTACTATCAGTGCAAGTGGTGGGGCCAGTAGCTAAAGTGTCGGGACCCCTGCAACCACAATTAGGTGAGTACAGAGGTGGGTCACCCACTGCACTACACAGTGGTGGGTCACCCACTACACTACACAGTGGTGGGTCACCCACTACACTACACATTTGGTGGGTCACCCACTGACACTACACAGTGGTGGGTCACCCACTGCACTACACAGTGGTGGGTCACCCACTACACTACACAGTGGTGGGTCACCCACTACACTACACAGTGGTGGGTCACCCACTGCCACTGGCACACTAGGTGGGTCACCCACTACACTACACAGTGGTGGGTCACCCACTACACTACACAGTGGTGGGTCACCCACTACACTACACAGTGGTGGGTCACCCACTACACTACACAGTGGTGGGTCACCCACTACACTACACAGTGGTGGGTCACCACTACACTACACAGTGGTGGGTCACCCACTACACTACACAGTGGTGGGTCACCCACTACACTACAGTGTGGGTCACCCACTGCACTACACAGTTGTGGGTCACCCACTACACTACACAGTGGTGGGTCACCCACTGCACTACACAGTGGTGGGTCACCCACTACACTACACAGTGGTGGGTCACCCACTGCACTACACAGTGGTGGGTCACCCACTACACTACACAGTGGTGGGTCACCCACTACACTACACAGTTGTGGGTCACCCACTACACTACACAGTGGTGGGTCACCCACTACACTACAGTGGTGGGTCACCCACTACACTACACAGTGGTGGGTCACCCACTACACTACACAGTGGTGGGTCACCACTGCACTACACAGTGGTGGGTCACCCACTACACTACACGGTGGTGGGTCACCCACTACACTACACAGTGGTGGGTCACCCACTGCACTACACGGTGGTGGGTCACCCACTACACTACACGGTGGTGGGTCACCCACTACACTACGTGGTGGGTCACCCACTACCTACAGTGGTGGGTCACCCACTACACAGTGGTGGGTCACCCACATACACAGTGGTGGGTCACCCACTACACTACACAGTGGTGGGTCACCCACTACACTACACAGTGGTGGGTCACCCACTACACTACACAGTGGTGGGTCACCCACTACACTACACAGTGGTGGGTCACCCACACACTACACAGTGGTGGGTCACCACTACACTACACAGTGGTGGGTCACCCACTACACTACAGTGGTGGTGTCACCCACTACACTACACAGTGGTGGGTCACCCACTACACTACACAGTGGTGGGTCACCCACTACACTACACAGTGGTGGGTCACCCACTACACTACACAGTGGTGGGTCACCCACTACACTACACAGTGGTGGGTCACCCACTACACTACACAGTGGTGGGTCACCCACTACACTACACAGTGGTGGGTCACCCACTACACTACACAGTGGTGGGTCCTGGTACACACATGACCCACCTCTAGCCCCTAAGGCTCCACAAAACCCACAAAAAGAAGAATTTCCCGGTAGATTTACCCCATTATTCCTTCACCATGTTGCAGAATGGTGCCATGGGTGCAAGGGGAAGGTGTCAATCAACTTGCAATTGCAATAATCAATCGTGTCAACGAGAAAATAGAAAATAATAGGCGTAACCATCACTGTCACTGTCCAAAGGTAAACAATGTCTGACCAGATGCCGCTGTTATTTTGCCTCATATTTCCTCGGTTAGGCGGCTAATTTGCACTTCGTTGCACTCTGCAACATCCCTGAGTGCTGCAGGTTGCATGGGTTTGGCCACTTACTTTTGTTGATGGGGGAAAACGCCGCTAAGTCATGAATTTCCTTGGAAATTTTGACACACACCCAATCGGAAAGACGCCATCAGATCCCTGGCCACGTCCAGAGGCACCACCCTGGCTCTGACTTGGGCTTCCCCTAATACCCATACCTCATCACCCACACTCTGTCACTCATTCAAACACCCTCCCACGCACTCCATAACCCACCCTAAACTCAAACCAAGTTCCACCTCCCATAACCACTAATCAAAACTTTTAAAAATGTGGGTTTGATGAACAGGCGAAGCCAGGCATGGCGAGGTGGCTAAGGGTGTTGAGACGAGGCATGACGTTACAGTCACGTGACCAGAAAGTTCGATCCAGCAACTCCAACAAAATATTTGTTTTCCCGCGCATGACGTCACTTTCCCGCCAAATTTAAACCTTAGGAAACTTTGAAAACTTTACTGAACTAACTTAAAACTTTAACTGATTGACTTACTGACTGCCTGACTGACTTGCTGACTTATTAACTGACTTGCTGACTTATTGACTTACTGACTGAATTACTTACTGACTCCCTGACCGACTTACTGAATTACTGACTTAAAAAGTTTCTGACTTACTAAATTACTAACTTACTGACTGAATTACTGAATGACTTACGAACTTAATAACTTATTAATAACCTACTAAACCTAATAACTTCCTAAATAACTTACCAAATAAGTAGTAATCTCTGGCCCAGGAACTGGACCTCAACATTATAACTCTCGAAGTCTCTGTGGTTCTTGATATAACTTGAAGAGTAACTTGTAAGTTATAGTGTAACTTAACATTATAATAAAAACGAAGCGCTAAACCACAAGGGCTATACAGCCTAAGTGAAGGTAAAGAGAGAGCAGCGGAGTGAACTGTGAGCTGCAAGCTCTGGCTCGGGCACCTACCCTACCCTTGAAGGTCTGGGCATGGTGTCCATCACTATGTATAACTTCTAGTGTAACTTTTACTGTAACTTGTATAACTTATAGTAACTTGTAGTATAACTTGTGGTGTAACTTGCAGTATAACTTGTATAACTTATAGTAACTTGTAGTATAACTTGTATAACTTATAGTAACTTGTAGTATAACTTGTAGTGTAACTTGTATAACTTATAGTAACTTGTAGTGTAACTTAGTGTACTTGCAGTTTAACTTGTTGTAACTTGTAGTGTAACTTGTATAACTTATAGTAACTTGTAGTATAACTTAGTGTACTTGCAGTTTAACTTGTTGTAACTTGTAGTGTAACTTATTTAACTTGTAACTTGTGTAACTTGTAACATGCAGCATAACTTGTAGTGTAACTTATTTAACTTGTAACTTGTGTAACTTGTAACATGCAGCATAACTTGTAGCATAACTTGAAGTGTAACTTGTAGTGTAAGTTGTAGTAACTTGTACCATAACTTATAGTAACTTGTAGTATAACTTGTTTTAACTTGTAGTGTATCTTGTAACTTGTAGCATAACTTGTAGTGTAATTTGTAGTTTAACTTGAAGTAACTTGTAGTGTAACTTGTAGTTTAACTTGCAGTGTAACTTGTAGTAACTTGTAGTAACTTGCAGTGTAACTTGTAGTAACTTGTAGTGTAACTTGTAGTGTAACATGTAGTAACTTGTAGTGTAACATGTAGTAACTTGTACTGTAACATGTAGTAACTTGTAGTGTAACATGTAGTAACTTGTAGTGTAACATGTAGTAACTTGTAGTGTAACATGTAGTAACTTGTAGTGTAACATGTAGTAACTTGTAGTGTAACATGTAGTAACTTGTAGTGTAACATGTAGTAACTTGTAGTGTAACATGTAGTAACTTGTAGTGTAACATGTAGTAACTTGTAGTGTAACATGTAGTAACTTGTAGTGTAACATGTAGTAACTTGCAGTGTAACATGTAGATCTGGTTTAAATAAAACACTATTATTATTATTATTGTTATTATTATTATTATTATTATTATTATTATCATCAAGCCTTTTTCTATATCTTAAAACTGACTTGCAGATCGAGTTGAAACTTGTAATACTCTATATATTATCTATTGTAATAGATGACTGTATAAATTATCTATCGACTAGTCTAGTATACATATGTCTATTACACTGAATAAATTATACATTCATACAACATAGGTATACACTCGTATTATTAATACATGTAAAATATATGAAGCCAAAACATGTATAATACATGAAGCCAGCACATGTATAATATATGTTGTTTATGGCTGTAACATGTATACTATATGTTTTTCATGGTCCAGTATACACCAGCATACAACTATACACACTGGATATACACTAATAAGCACCAAGGATATACATAAATATACACCAAGGATATACACAGATATACACCAAGGATATACACTAATACAGACCAAGGATATACACTAATATAGACCAAGAATATACATGTACATATACCAGTGATATATGCAGATATACACTAAGGATATACACTAGTATCAGCACCTCTCAGTAAAGACAAGAATACTGCACACACGCTATACAACCTTGTATTAGCACCTATTTCTATTTAGACATCAGGATTTGGAGTGCTGTTGGAGTGCAAGCGAGGATATGTATACAAGGGGACTGCTTAGCTGGATTTGGGTCCTAGAGGTGGGATGTACAGTGGCTGTACTGTGAAGGATGAGTGAGGATTTTACAGTTCTTTCGGTGGGAAGTACAGTACCTGTACTCAGAAGGATGAGTATGGATGTTACAGTTCTGGATGTGGGAAGTACAGTACCTGTACTCAGAAAGATGAGTATGGATGTTACAGTTCTGGAGGTGGGAAGTACAGTACCTGTACTCTGAAGGATGAGTGAGAGTGTTAGGTTAAGTAAAGTTACATTAAGTTAGGTTAAGTAAAGTTATATTAGGTTAGGTAAAGTTACGTTAAGTTAGGTTAGGTTAAGTTAGGGTCACCAGCAACATAAGCCTTGTATTTCCCCATAAGAAAAACCTTATTATTATTAGCTTCACACAGTATAACAAATAAATTACAATTCCAAAAAGACCATTTAAGGTACAATTTAGGCCATTTACAAGAAATTTTCTCTCAAATAAATGTCCTGAAATGTACATCAATGTCTTTTTTCACATCTTGTAGACATCGCCATACTGTTTTAAATTACCGTGTGCATTTGTGCGCTGATGGCACGCTCTGTGTATGTCTAGATGTTATGTATACATTTTGTGTATATGCAAGTAGTGCTGTGTATAATATACAGTGCTGTATACAATGTACAATGCTGTATGCAGTGTACAATGTTTGCCAAAGCATGTCAGCATGTACAGCCTCTCCTCACTTAACCCGTAAACGGTCCAAATGTATACATTGGACCCCCGGTTAAGGATATTATTTCATTCCAGAATTATGTTCAGGTGCCAGTACTGACCGAATTTGTTCCCATAAGGAATATTGTGAAGTAGATTAGTCCATTTCAGACCCCCAACATACACGTACAAATGCACTTACATAAATACACTTACATAATCGGTCGCATTTGGAGGTGATCGTTAAGCGGGGGTCCACTGTAATGTCAAAGATGGTTGACAAAAATCCACTACCATTATAATATGCTCCTCATTTACCAACAAATTTGTTTACCGACGGGGTCTTAGATCCCTGTCTCTGTCATTAACCCGTAAACGGTCCAAGCAGATTTACGTTCACATGTGTAGCGCTACAAAAGTAGATCTTAAGTTTTTTTTTACATATTTTCAAATATAACAAAAAAAAAAGTAGATCAAAGTTTTTTTACACATTTTCAAATGTAGAAAAACAAAAAGAAGATCTACTTTTTTTACATACTTTCAAATGTTGAAAAAACGTATATACAGTGGACCCCCGCATAACGATCACCTCCAAATGCGACCAATTATGTAACTGTATTTATGTAAGTGCGTTTGTACGTGTATGTTTGGGGGTCTGAAATGGACTAATCTACTTCACAATATTCCTTATGGGAAAAAATTCGGTCAGTACTGGCACCTGAACATACTTATGGAGTGAAAAAAGTTCGTTAACTGGGGGTCCACTGTATTTTATTGTCACCTTTACACCATTTATAACATTTCTGGTATTTTTCAAATGTTTATACAGCAGTGTACTGTATATTGTAATAAACAGAATTGAGAAAATCAGCTCTAATGTACCATTATTTAAGTATAAATACTGGTCAGAGAGCCTGTCGTAAGTCCGGGGCATCAGTAAATGAGTACGTTGCTAAGTGAGGAGAGGCTGTACTCCAAAAATGTTGATATACAACAACGGAGGAGGGATGTTAATGTTGCAGTTTAAAAACTGTAGTGTAAAGCACCCTTCTGGCAAGACAGTGATGGAGTGAATGATGGTGAAAGTTTTTCTTTTTCGGGCCACCCTGCCTTGGTGGGAATCGGCCAGTGTGATAATAATAATAAAAAAAAAAACAATGGCACATCGCTGAATGTACAGGAGAGCCCTGTGTATTACAGGAGGGCCCTGTGCATTACAGGAGGGCCCTGTGTATTACAGGAAAGACTTGTGTATTACAGGAGGGCCCTGTGTATTACAGGAGGGTCCTTTGTATTACAGGAGGGCCCTGTGTATTACAGGAGGGCCCTGTGCATTACAGGAGGGCCCTGTGTATTACAGGAAAGACTTGTGTATTACAGGAGGGCCCTGTGTATTACAGGAGGGTCCTTTGTATTACAGGAGGGCCCTGTGTATTACAGGAGGGCCCTGTCTTACAGGAGGGCCCAGTGTCTTACAGGAGGGCCCCGTGTCTTACAGGAGGGCCCTGTGTCTTATAGGAGGGCCATGTGTCTTACAAGAGGGCCCTGTGTCTTACAGGAGGGCCATGTGTCTTACAGGAGGGCCCTGTGTATTCCTCACCTCTTTTCATTGGCTTCCAACTTAGTCATTATTAATTATGTTTGATGCTGTCACAACAGTTGTGGAAAGGAATGGCAACCAGCACCATATTTTAATGTATTGTATGTACTGTGTATTTATTTTATTGTCTTGGGCCCAGCTGTATTGAGCACTTAATATATGATAGTGTGAACATGTTATCTGGCATTTTAGATGCATTTCATAATGAAAAAATGCTCTTTTCCACTCGTCTGCAATTTTCGTTTATGGTATGGGGTTCGGAAACTTAGAGCTGTACCAATGGCACCTCCTGTAAGACACAGGACCCTCCTGTAACACACAGGACCTTCCTGTAATACACAGGACCTTCCTGTAACACACAGGACCTTCCTGTAATACACAGGGCCCTTCTGTAACACACAGGACCCTCCTGTAACACACAGGACCTTCCTGTAATACACAGGGCCCTTCTGTAACACACAGGACCCTCCTGTAACACATAGGACCTTCCTGTAATACACAGGGCCATCCTGTAATACACAGGGTCCTTCTGTAATAAACAGAGCCCTCCTATACAGTATAGTTTTCCTGAATCCTTCTTGCCTGAGTCATGCATGTCGTAAGAGGCAACTCAAATGCCGGCAGCAAGATGCCAGTAACACCTTCTACTGTATAAATTACTAAATTCAAAAAGAAGTGTATCTTTTTTTTAAGGGTCACACCACCTAGGTGAGAGATGACCAGTGCGTTGAAGAAAAAAAGCTTTTGATTGAGCTAAACCATAAATTAACGAGATCACCCAGATGAGTTCAACCAATCCTCCATTCAACCCTTTCCTGATTGGGCAAGGTCAACTGACCCTCTCCTGATAGCTCAGAATGCCAAAGAAACCCTAACCCAAGCAGCTTCTGTTGTGCACCACCAGGTGGCTTTGGGCCACCGTTCTTACAACAACAGTTTTATAACAAATAAAACCTTTGTTATTACAGCACAAAAGTAATTGCAATAATGCCATTGTAAATTAATAAATGAATACAAGTTTATCCTCTAGGTAGTAGGTTGGTAAACAGCAACCGCCCAGGGAGGTACTACCGTCCTGCCAAGTGAGTGTACAACGAAAACCTGTAATTATTTTACATGATGGTAGGATTGCTGATGTCTTTTGCCTGTCTCATAAACATGCAAGATTTCAGATATGTCTTGCTACTTCTACTTGCACTCAGGTCACACTACACATGTACAAGCATATATATACACACCCCTCTGGGTATTCTTCTATTTTCTTTCTAGGTCTTCTTCTTGTTTATTACCTCTTATCTCCATGGGGAAGTGGAACAGAATTCTTCCTCTGTAAGTCATGCATGTCATAAGAGACAACCAAAATGCTGGGAGCAAGGGGCTAGTAACCCCTTCTCCTGTATAAATTACTAAATTTATAAAGAAAAACTTTCATTTTTCTTTTTTGGGCCACCCTGTCTGAGTGGGATATGGCCGGTTGGTTGAAAGAAGTTTATCCTATCAATAAGTGTACAGTACTGAATGTGCATGGCTATAGCACCATTGTAAAGCTGAACTGTAGTAAGTCATATCATCATAAAGTTGAAATATTGTAAGTTTAACCATTGTAAAATCGAAATATCATAAGTTGAACCATTGTAAAGTCAAAATATCCTAAGTCGAACGATTGTAGTCAAATATAAATCGAACCATTGTAGTCATCGTATCATTGTTCGTAAACCACTGTACAGAAAAATTCCACGAAAATAATGTACATAACAGACTTACATAAGCTAAACAGACTTAATATATATATAAAATGCCCTAGTAGACACCAGTACAGTAGAACCCGTATCCACTGATCTCGTATCCGCGGTGTCAGTTATCCACGGTTTACTATGGCCCACAAATAAACCTTAATTTTGCTTAATAATGGCCCCAAAGTGCAAAAATAGAGAAGCTGACAGTTGTTCAAAGTCTAAGAGAAGCTGTGAAGTGCTTCCCATCAGCGAAAAACTTATAATTTTCCACTTATTGTGCATAATTTATCAATTAAACTTGATAATAGGTATGTATAGGACTTATATATAGTGTTTGCTACTATCCAGGGTTTCAGTATCCACGGCAGGTCCTTGGAACGCATCCCCTGCGGGTACGAGCGTGTTCTACTGTAACTAAAAAAAGCATATCTATTCACAACCACAAAATCATGTGTGGTGTGACACCACATAGCCTCATGCTTCTTATATATAATAATTTGTAAAAATATATTCACTGTGAGCAAGGGGATAGTAACCCCTTTTCCTGTATAAATTACTACGGTGGTACCCCGAGATTCGGCCATAATTCGTCCCAGATGGCTGTTCGAGTGCTGTTACCAAACGAATTTGTTCCCATAAGATATAATGTAAATTAGACTAGTCCATTTCAGACCCTCAAAAAAACACTTACAATAGCCTTTACAATAATACACTTACATAATTGTTCGAGTTGGGAGGTGGCCGAAACTCAGGGTACCACTGTAAATATAAAATGTAGAAAATTTTGATCTTCGTTTTTTGGGTCACAATGCCTTGGTTGGGGGCAACCGATGTATTGAAAAAATATACAACAAGTTATGAGGTTTAAATATCGCAGATCCATAATTTGGAGAGGAAATGGCAAATGGTCCACTAGGTGTGATCATTACAGGACCACAACGGGCCTAATAATGGTTCACTACGGACCGAATTGTCATCTAAGAGTTTTTCTAGGTTGTGGCTAATTTTGAATTGTTACAGCCATGTTGATGTGGAGTTTGTTGATAAATAGTTATAGGGGAGAGTAGTGTTACAACTACTGTCATTAATGTGTCGTTCCTTCGTTAAACCTGAAGCAGCAGCAGCACCTAGCTTTATGACTGTTGATGTTAATATGTCATTTCTTTGTTAAACTTGAAGGAGTAACATTGCGACTTGTCATTAATGTGTCGTTCCCTCGTTAAACCTGAAGGCATAGTGTGCAGCATTAATATCATTGTCATTAATGCATTGCCCCTTCGTTAAACCTGAAAGTATAAAAGAGCGGTTGATCATGGAAGTGATGGAGGTTGTCAATGTGGCGGATAATGCCACCCTGCAGCAGCTGACGGCCGTACTTGACAGCGTCAGTGCGGTCGTGTGCCAGGCCGACCATCAGGAGCCAGTCGACCAGTTCCTTTCCACCAAACACTGCAGCCAGGTTCTTCAGTCTCCACCTGAAATACAAAAACATACGCTAGTACAGCAAGTCCTCGAACAGCATCGTGTTGTTATAACGTCGATGAGAAAAAATCAAAAGAATACAATGAACACAAATCAATGTAAAATAAAAATTTGTAAAGTGTACGATAATTATACAGTAAACCCTAGACTTACAAACATGCTGAGAATCTTCTGTATTGGTATAATATCATTATTATATATTATTTTACACAATACAAAAGGTCCACAATGTGTTTTTAATTAACAACTTCCTGTACTAGCTTCAAATCCACAATTTCCTGCAGCACAATAAGCTCTGTTTCTACTGAAGCAACATCCCAGGCAGAGGATGCAACAACAGGATATCCATCGCTGATAATATCAATTACTGAGACATTCACAAGAAACTCAAAATTTGACTAACATTTTTAGTCTCTCAAACCTGTTTTCAAAATCATTATAAAGTGATTCTAAGTTTCCTGACATCCATGGTGGTTCTTGGAAGGTATCATCCATGGTTACTAGGACACTACTGTATAGTGTTCACTACTATCCAGGTTAGCTAACATCCAAGGTAGTTGTTGGAAGGTATCATCCATGGTTACCAGGACACTACTGTGTAGTGTTCACTACTATCCAGGTTAGCTAACATCCAAGGTAGTTGTTGGAAGGTATCACCCATGGTTACCAGGACACTACTGTATAGTGTTCACTACTATCCAGGGTAGCTAACATCCAAGGTAGTTGTTGGAAGGTATCACCCATGGATACCAGGACACTACTGTATAGTGTTCACTACTATCCAGGGTAGCTAACATCCAAGGTAGTTGTTGGAAGGTATCACCCATGGTTACCAGGACACTACTGTATAGTGTTCGCTACTATCCAGGGTAGCTAACATCCAAGGTAGTTGTTGGAAGGTATCATCCATTGATACCAGGACACTACTGTATAGTGTTCACTACTATCCAGGGTAGCTAACATCCAAGGTAGTTGTTGGAAGGTATCATCCATGGATACCAGGACACTACTGTATAGTGTTCACTACTATCCAGGGTAGCTAACATCCATGGTAGTTGTTGGAAGGTATCACCCATGGATACCAGGACACTACTGTATAGTGTTCACTACTATCCAGGGTATCTGACATCCAAGGTAGTACATTTGGAAGGTATCACCCACAGATATCAGGACACTACTGTATAGTGTTCACTACTATCCAGGGTAGCTAATATCCAAGGTAGTTGTTGGAAGGTATCATCCATGGATACCAGGACACTACTGTATAGTGTTCACTACTATCCAGGGTAGCTAACATCCAAGGTAGTTGTTGGAAGGTATCATCCATGGATATCAGGACACTACTGTATAGTGTTCACTACTATCCAGGGTAGCTAACATCCAAGGTAGTTGTTGGAAGGTATCATCCATGGATATCAGGACACTACTGTATAGTGTTCACTACTATCCAGGGTATCTGACATCCAAGGTAGTACATTTGGAAGGCATCACCCACAGATACCAGGACACTTACCATATATAAGTCACTTCTCTGAGTATATGCTGTACTTCTTTCAGACTGATGGACTAAAACATCAATTCCAGACTGAGGGACTGACTGCCTCTATGTCCTTTCCTTTTTTCTCGTATTATGTAGTGGACTGAAGGAGCCACCTTGAATGTCTTACCTTCTATCCCTGACAATGTCATTGATACATTTATCCATGTGATAGTTAGTGAACTGTTCGCACGTTTGTCGTGTCTTGGGGTCCAGCTGATCCCAAGCTGGTACCTTAATGACAGCTGCGCCGTGACATACCTGTCGCCACCTGTAACAAATGTGAATAATTAGACAGGGGTCAACTACATTAGGGTAAACAAGAACAGTATTGTCAGTTTTTTTTTTTCCAAATTAAATCTCATGATTTAGCTTAATTTCATACAGGTGGTCAACAATTTACTATGGGGTTATGTACTTCCCATCTCCAGGACTCAAGTCAAACCGGCAGGCCGGACTTGAGTCCTGGAGATGGGAAGTACAGTGCCTGCACTCTGAAGGAGGGGTGTTAATGTTGCAGTTTAAAAACTGTAGTGTAAAGCACCCTTCTGGCAAGACAGTGATGGAGTGAATGATGGTGAAAGTTTTTCTTTTTCGGGCCACCCTGCCTTTGTGGGAATCGGCCAGTGTGATAATAAAATAAATAAAATTATGTTCCAATGAACCTTTCCCAGGTTGTAGATATTGTAAATCAAAAAATATCCTCAGTTGAATATGATATGCTAAATCAATGTCAATAAATAACTACTGTCAGTGAATAAGTCAGTAAACAAATAATTGCTGTAACTAAATACAGCCTCTCCTCACTTAGCGACGTACTCGTTTACCGACGACTCGGACTTACAACGGGCTCTCTGACCAGTATGCATACCTAAATAATGTATATTAGAGTTGATTTTCTCTATTCTGTTTATTACAATGTACAGTACACTACTATATAAATCTTTAAAAATATAATAGAAGTGTTAAAAATGTTGCAAGGGTGACATTCAAACAATATCAAAGATGGTTGACACAAACCCACTACCATCATAGTATGCTCCTTACTTAACGACGAATTCGTTTACTAACGTGATCTTAGGAATGCAACTCCGTCGTTAAGTAAGGAGAGGCTGTACCAGTATTGAAAAGTCAATAAATGAATACAAGTTAGGGACTTGCTGCCTTCATGTTGGTAATTATCTTAAGTTTCATCTCCAAAGTAATTGTTGCTGCACCATTGTAAAGTTGAAATATTGTAAGTTGAACCATTGTAAAGTTGAAATATTGTAAGTTGAACCATCGTAAAGTTGAAATATTATATGTTGAACTATTGTAAAGTTGGAATATCACAAGTTGAACCATTGTAAAGTTGAAATATCAGAAGTCAAATCATCACAAGTTGAAGACTACTTGTATTGTGACATAGTTCCTAACCACAGCTTACTGTGACACCATTCAGTCATTCACTCACCATTTTAACAGAGGCATCACTATCAGTTTGGTGTCTAGTCCGAAGATTGCAGCGGTGAAGAACCCCTGGCCAAAATTGAGCACGATGTCGAGGAAAACCAGCTCCACGTAAACTCCATTGACCTCTGAGGTCACCAGTGTCCACATACACAATGCAAACCCCTGTGTGTATACCAAGTCTGTGAATATACCATGTATGTGGGTATGCCAAGTTTGTGGGAATACCAAGTATGTGAGTATACCAAGCTTATGGGTATACCAAGTTTGTGTAAACTTTGTGGTATATGAGTTTTATTGATGCTGTGATATACCAGCATTAATATATTATACTAGTAACACTACCACAATTATTGTTTTGTGTTAAAACAACCACTATTCATGTCTGCTACTAGAACCACCACCATTCATCTCTGTTACTAGAACAACCAACATTAGTGACCTACCACAATCATGGAGCCGCACAACAACAACAACAAGACGACATGTCGCATCATTTGAAATTCGTCATCGCGGTCACGAACAATGGTCGTCTCCTGAGGTTCGGTGAGCTGTGATGTCATCAGACATCGCTGGTCATCACTGTAGTCGTCGCTGCGGTCGTCCGGTCGGTAACGACGACCCAGGTCATCATGGGGGCTGAACAGGCTGGGAAAAAAGGATAATCCGTCAGCAAATTTGGCAAAACAGTTCTGGAGTGAGTGATGGTGAAGGCATTTCTTTGTTTTTGGGTCACCCTATGCTAGTTCCATGAACAGAAAAGCTCAATAATGACCCCATTTTAATGTGACAACATTGTGACCAGCCAGGGCTCAAACCCAAGACAATTAGCCAGCCTCATGGGTTGCAAGATGACCGCCTGACACCTTAGTCTACTGCACCATCACCATGGTGGTACAAATGTACTCTGTGAACCACTAAATCTCCAACCAGCCTTCAGAGTACAGGCACTGTACTCATATGTATGTAATATCTTAATACTATAGTCTGTAGAAGTTGCATGCCAGCAGGCATGCGTGAGCGTGTTTGATAGGAGTGAATGGAGACAAATGGTTTTTAATACTTGACGTGCTGTTGGAGTGTGAGCAAAGTAACATTTATGAAGGGGTTCAGGGAAACCGGCAGGCCGGACTTGAGTCCTGGAGATGGGAAGTACAGTGCCTGCACTCTGAAGGAGGGGTGTTAATGTTGCAGTTTAAAAACTGTAGTGTAAAGCACCCTTCTGGCAAGACAGTGATGGAGTGAATGATGGTGAAAGTTTTTCTTTTTCGGGCCACCCTGCCTTGGTAGGAATCGGCCAGTGTGATAATAAAAAAAAAAAAATATTATTATTATTATTATAAATGTGCTGTATGACCCTTTCAGGTTTAGTGTTTAATATAATTATTATTACACACACACCCTGCACACAGGACAGAGAAACTTGCGACAATTTGATCCAACGTGGACCATCAACTAGTCAGAGTAACGCACGAAGGTAAGAGAGGCAGTCTGCAGTTTCAAAACAATGGACATAATTTCAAAGCAAACTGCTTTGAAATCAGGTCCATCTTTTAGAAACACTCTGTATAGGAGAGGGATAAATCAGGCAAAATAAGTGGGTTTTGATTTACACAGATAGCTATGATAAATAAGCAAAATTAAGGCTTATTTTTAGGTCATTATTAAGCAAAATTAAGGCTTATTTTTAGGTCATTATTAAGCAAAATTAAGGCTTATTTTTAGGTCATTATTAAGCAAAATTAAGGCTTATTTTTAGGTCATTATTAAGCAAAATTAAGGCTTATTTTTAGGTCATTATTAAGGAAAATTAAGGCTTATTTCAAGATATTATTAAGGCTTATTTTCAGGCCATTATTAACCCTTTCAGGGTTTTCAACATACTAGTACGGCTTACGCACCAGGGTTATTGACGTACTAGTACGCCTAAATTCTAGCGCCTTCAAATCTAGCGAGAGAAAGCTGGTAGGCCTACATATGAAAGAATGGGTCTATGTGGTCAGTGTGCACAGTATAAAAAAAATCCTGCAGCACACAGTGCGTAATGAGAAAAAAAAACTTTGACCGTGTTTTTGGATTAAAACAGCGAGTTTGTACTGTATTTTCGTATGGTATTTATGATGGTATTCTAGTTTTCCTGGTCTCATTTTATAGAATGGAAAACAAATTACAGAAATTGAGATGATTTTGACTGGTTTTACAATGAAAAGTACCTTGAAATTTAGCTCAAAGTAGCAGAAATGTTCAATTTTTACCAAAGTTCAAAAGTACACAAATCATGCCAAGTGTCCAATACACGTCAACTGGTGAGTCTAATATTCTTTCACAAGTGCACTGATATTATTTATACCATTTCTACACTAATGCTGTAGTCTGCATAACAGTAAATCTTCTATTTTTTGTGAGAATAAAAATTCAAATTGGAAAGCAAAAGAAATATAAGAGGGGCCTGGGGATGTGACTAACGAACAGAGAACTTGTTATTTTAGTGCCAGGAATGTCTTTCTTGTTTATTCTGGACCCTATTTGGAAATTGGCATCTTCTGAAATTTGTGTGAAACTGGCAAAATTGTCAATTTCTGACCACTTTACTGGATAGTTGAAATTGGTAAATGGGTGGTTTCTTGTATTCATTTGATAGAAAAAATGGAGTTCTAGCAAAATAAATATTTTTTTGTCGACTACTACACAGGAATTGGCCAAAAATAGGGCTCAAATTGGGCGGAATCGCCGATGCATAAACATCAGCGAGACCGCTAACTTCGCGAGAGCATAATTCTGTAAGTTTTCCATCAGATTTCATACTTTTGGTGTCATTATGATCGGGAAAAGATTCTCTATCATTTCATAAGAAAAACTAATTTTTTTTTCAGAAAAATTTTCAACCCTGAGAACAAGTTTAGATTTAGAATAGGGCCTCTCGACCCTGAAAGGGTTAAAGCTTATTTTGAGGCAATTATTAAGGCTTATTTTCAGGCCATTATTTAACCTTTTTGGGGTCGTGACCCCTGCTCACAGACTTGCTCTCAGGGTTAAAGAATTTTCAATATAAAAAAATTATTTTATCTTGTAAAATGATAGAGAATTTTTTCCGAAGGTAATGACACCAAAAGTACAAAATTTGATGGAAAACTTACGGTATTATGTTCACGCAAAGTTAGTGGTCTCAGTGATATTTATGCATCAGCAATTTCACCCACTTTCAGCCCTATTTCTGGCCAATTCCATTGTTCCAGTCAACCAAACTCATAGCTATTTCTTTAATATTCCTTCTATTCTATCGATTGAGTACAAGAAACCACCCATTTACCTATTTCAACTATCCAATAAATTTATCAGAAATCAGTAATTTGGCCAATTTCACACAAATTTCAACAAGTGTTAACTGGAAAACAGAGTCCAAAATAAATAGTGTAGACATTACTGGCGCTAAATAAACATTCCTCTGTTCCTTAGTCATGTCTCCAAGCCTCAACAGGCCTCTCTGGGCCTCCCCAGGTCTCCCCAGGTCTTCACAGGACTCTCCAGACCTCTCCAGGCCTCCTCAAGTCTCCAAAGGCCTCTCCAGCCTTCCCTAGACCTCTCCAGGCCTCCCCAAGTCTCCAAAGGCCTCTCCAGGCTTCCCCAGGCCTCTCCAGACCTCCCCAGGTCTCCACAGGCCTCTCCAGGCTTCCCCAGGCCACTCCAGGCTTCCCCAGGCCTCTCCAGGCTTCTTCAGGCCTCTCCAGCCTTCTCCAGCCCTCTCCAGGCTTCCCCAGGCCTCTCCAAACTCCTCCAGGCTTCTCCAGGTATCCCCAGGCTTCTCCAGACTTCTCCAGACTTCTCCAGGCTTCTCCAGGCCTCTCAGGCCTCCAGAAGCTTCTCCAGGTCTCACCAGGCCTCTCCAGGTTTCCACAGACCTCTCCAGACTTCCCCAGGCTTCTCTAGGCCTCTCCAGGCTCCTCCAGACCTCCCCAGGCTTCTCCAGGTCTCTCCCCAGGCCTCTCCAGGCTTCTCAGGCCTCCCCAAGCTTCTCCAGGTCTCCCCAGGCTTCTCCAGACTTCCACAGGCTTCTCCAGGTTTCCCCAGGCCTCTCCAGGCTTCTCCAGGTCCCCCCAAGCTTCTCCAAGCTTCCTCAGGCCTCTCCAGGCTTCCTCAGACCTCCAGGCTTCCCCAGGCCTCTCCAGGCTTCCCCAGGCATCTTCAGGCTTCTCCAGGCCTCCCCAGGCTTCTCCAGGTATCCCTAGGCTTCTCCAGGTATCCCTAGGCTTCTCCAGGTATCCCCAGGCTTCCACAGGCCTCTTGAGGCTTCCCCATGTTTCTCCAGGCTTCCCCAGGCATCTCCAGGCCTCCCCAGACTTCTCCAGGTCTCCCCAGGCCTCTCCAGGCTTCTACAGGCCTCTCCAGGGTCTCCAGGCTTCCCCAGGCCTCTTCCAGGCCTCCCCAGGCTTCTCCAGGTCTCCCCAGGCCTCTCCAGGCTTCTACAGGCCTCTCCAGGGTCTCCAGGCCTCCCCAGGCTTCTCCAGGCTTCTCAGCCCTCCCCAAGCTTCTCCAGGTCTCCCCAGGCTTCTCCAGACTTCCCCAGGCCTCTCCAGGTCCCCCCAAGCTTCCTCAGGCCTCTCCAGGCTTCCCCAGACCTCTCCAGGCCTCCCCAGGCTTCTCCAGGTATCCCTAGGCTTCTCCAGATATCCCCAGGCCTCCCCAGGCTTCCACAGGCCTCTTGAGGCTTCCCCATGATTCTCCAGGCTTCCCCAGGCATCTCCAGGCCTCCCCAGACTTCTCCAGGTCTCCCCAGGCCTCTCCAGGCTTCTACAGGCCTCTCCAGGGTCTCCAGGCTTCCCCAGGCCTCTTCCAGGCCTCCCCAGGCTTCTCCAGGTCTCCCCAGGCCTCTCCAGGCTTCTACAGGCCTCTCCAGGGTCTCCAGGCCTCCCCAGGCTTCTCCAGGTCTCCTCAGGCCTCTCCAGGGTCTCCAGGCTTCCCCAGGCATCTCCAGGCCTCCCCAGGCTTCCAGGTCTCCCCAGGCCTCTCCAGGCTTCTACAGGCCTCTCCAGGGTCTCCAGGCTTCCCCAGGCCTCTTCCAGGCCTCCCCAGACTTCTCCAGGTCTCCCCAGGCCTCTCCAGGCTTCTACAGGCCTCTCCAGGGTCTGCAGGCTTCTCCAGGCCTCTTCCAGGCTTCCCCAGGCTTCTCCAGGTCTCCCCATGCCTCTCCAGGCTTCTACAGGCCTCTCCAGGGTCTGCAGACTTCCCCAGGCCTCTTCCAGGCTTCCACAGGCTTCTCCAGGTCTCCCCAGGCCTCTCCAGGCTTCTACAGGCCTCTCCAGGGTCTGCAGGCTTCCCCAGGCCTCTTCCAGGCTTCCACAGGCTTCTCCAGGTCTCCCCAGGCCTCTCCAGGCTTCTACAGGCCTCTCCAGGGTCTGCAGGCTTCCCCAGGCTTCTCCAGGCCTCTCCAGGGTCTGCAGGCTTCCCCAGGCCTCTTCCAGGCTTCCACAGGCTTCTCCAGGTCTCCCCAGGCCTCTCCAGGCTTCTACAGGCCTCTCCAGGGTCTCCAGGCTTCCCCAGGCCTCTTCCAGGCCTCCCCAGGCTTCTCCAGGTCTCCCCAGGCCTCTCCAGGCTTCTACAGGCCTCTCCAGGGTCTCCAGGCTTCCCCAGGCCTCCCCAGGCTTCTCCAGGTCTCCCCAGGCCTCTCCAGGCTTCTACAGGCCTCTCCAGGGTCTGCAGGCTTCCCCAGGCCTCTTCCAGGCTTCCCCAGGCCTCTTCCAGGCTTCCACAGGCCTCCCAGGCCTCTCCTATATTACACTTGATTTCCATTTTAAATTCTTATTCACACAAAAAAACAAAAGATATACTGTTATGTAGACTACTGTATTATGTAGACTACTGTATTATGTAGACTACTGTATTATGTAGACTACTGTATTATGTAGACTACTGTATTATGTAGACTACTGTATTATGTAGACTACTGTATTACACCAGCCAGCTGGACGTGTATTGGACAAGTAACGTTATTTATTTACTCTGGATTATTGGCAAAAATCGAACATTTCTGCTACTATGAACCCAATTTCCAGCTACTTTCACTCCTGTAGCCAATCAAAATCATCTCTTTTTCTGTAATATATCTTTCATTCTATCAAATGAAATCAAGAAACCAAGAATACAGCCATAAAAGCCATCCAAAAATACACCTCAAAGTCGTTTTTTAAACCAAAAAACACAGTTGCAGTCCCCCCCCTGCATCACCCCCCTGCATCATCCCCCCCTGCATCATCCCCCCTGCATCATCCCCCCCCCTGCATCATCCCCCCCTGCATCATCCCCCCTGCATCATCCCCCCTGCATCATCCCCCCTGCATCATCCCCCCCCTGCATCATCCCCCCCTGCATCATGCACTGCCTGTTGCAGGATTTTTTTTTATATGATGCACACTCACCATATAGAACCATTCTCTCATATCTACCACTCATATTTACCACTCGCAGCTTATCCGAGCGAGCTGAGCTCGTGGCGCCACAGTACGGGACCCACACCGAAAGGGTTAAGCAAAACTAAGGCTTTTTTTCATGCCATTTTTAAGGCTTATTTCAGGCCATTATTAAGGCTTATTTTCAGGCCATTATTAAGGCTTATTTCAGGCCATTATTAAGGCTTATTTTCAGGCCATTATTAAGGCTTATTTCAGGCCGTTATTAAGGCTTATTTCAGGCCATTATTAAGGCTTATTTCAGGCCATTACTAAGGCTTATTTTCAGGCCATTATTAAGGCTTATTTCAGGCCGTTATTAAGGCTTATTTCAGGCCATTATTAAGGCTTATTTCAGGCCATTATTAAGGCTTATTTTCAGGCCATTATTAAGGCTTATTTCAGGCCATTATTAAGGCTTATTTCAGGCCATTATTAAGGCTTATTTCAGGCCATTATTAAGGCTTATTTCAGTCCATTATTAAGGCTTATTTTCAGGCCATTATTAAGGCTTATTTCAGGCCATTATTAAGGCTTATTTCAGGCCATTATTAAGGCTTATTTCAGTCCATTATTAAGGCTTATTTTCAGGCCATTATTAAGGCTTATTTCAGTCCATTATTAAGGCTTATTTTCAGGCCATTATTAAGGCTTATTTTCAGTCCATTATTAAGGCTTATTTCAGGCCATTATTAAGGCTTATTTTCAGTCCATTATTAAGGCTTATTTTCAGGCCATTATTAAGGCTTATTTCAGTCCATTATTAAGGCTTATTTTCAGGCCATTAAGGCTTATTTTCAGGCCATTATTAAGGCTTATTTTCAGTCCATTATTAAGGCTTATTTGAGGCCATTATTAAGGCTTATTTTCAGTCCATTATTAAGGCTTATTTTCAGGCCATTATTAAGGCTTATTTTCAGGCCATTATTAAGGTTTATTTTCAGGCCACAGTAAAGTATATATAACTTGACCACGTTTACCTCTACTTTGTTGTACCTTTGGTGAGTTTCTAGAATACTCCCGGAGCCTGACTATGGGCCAGCATGATCCCACTGGTCCACGCATCCATCACAGCCTGGCTGATCCAGCACCAGTGTTGCAGCAGTATTCCAACAGTGTTACACCAGTGATGCAAGCAACACTGCACACCCACCTGTCACTATCAGAAGACAGGTTACCATCTATTCCTGTTTCTGGGTCCCTGGTCCTCTCCTCTGCATCACTGCCAGTGCTGAGTACTGTCCCATTGCAACCTGCAACACACTCCACATTACACTTCACAAACAAAAACACTAGAAAAAGTGTTAAACACTTTTGAGTTGCAATAATACACTTTTTAGATACACAAGTTTGCTAGATTAAGGTCCCAGACAATTCAGTAACACAAGTCTACTAGATTAAATACAAGTAAACTAGATGGAGGTCCTTTTAGAAACACAAGAACACTAGATAAAAGTCCTAGAAACTCTTCACTAGCACCTAGAAACTTAAACCATTAAGTAGAGACTAATAATGATCACCAGAGACTAGTAATGGCCACTAGTGACTAGTAACAGCCAATAGTGACTAGTAACGCTACTAGCAACTAGTAATGGTCATTAGCCACTAGTAACGGTCATTAGCCACTAGTAACGGTCACCAGCAACTAATAACGGTCACTAGCAACTAGTAACGGTCACTAGTGGCTAGTAACAGCCACTAGCAACTAGTTAAATAGTCTGAGTAGTACTGTAACATCAACTTACCCAACACAGGAGCATCAACGGTTGACGTACGTGGCGATACTCCTGGTGAACGACCTCTGGCGTCATCGCTGTCATCCAGGTTCAGCAACGATTCGTACTGTGAGTAGCGGCGTTCATGGCGCTGATGGAAGATCAGGCACACCACCGTCGCTATGGAAAATACACAAGTTATACGTATATAATGACTAAATTGACTCAGTATTTGACTAAATTTAATGTATACTATTAAACTCACTTGATTTTATCGGTAAAGTGGCTAGTTTACTGTGTACCTCACATACTATGGATAGTAGTGGCTAGTTTGTGCACCACATATCCTGTGGATAGAAGTGGCTAGTTTGTGCACCACATATCCTATGGATAGTAGTGGCTAGTTTGTGCACCACATATCCTGTGGATAGTAGTGGCTAGTTTGTGCACCTCATATCCTGTGGATAGTAGTGGCTAGTTTGTGCACCTCATATCCATCCTTAAAAAGATAACTACCAGCGTAATTTCTTTGAAAGCCTATTCAACAATTAACGACTCTTGCTGTTGGCCTCTTTGATCTATAAGAAAATAAATGCACTTACTGATTAGGCTAAACCAGAGCAAGAGGAGAGCGACTATGGCCTGCGCTGCGCCGTATTGGAAATTTGGGTCGTGTTTGTCCGCTACATCCGTCTCTTGTTGCACCATCAGGATCAACACCGTCACCAATACTGCTGGTAACCTGCGTCACATACAATATACAACTGTATTCCCGCATTATACATTATTTATACAGTAACGGGAGACCCTTAAGTGTATGATGAGAGTTGCATTTTTTTTTTTTTGTGCCACATAAAATATACAACTGTATTCCCACATTATACATGCACTAATATACATACAGTGGACCCCCGGTTAACGAACTTTTTTCATTCCAGTAGTATGTTCAGGTGCCAGTACTGACCGAATTTTTTCCCATAAGGAATATTGTGAAGTAGATTAGTCCATTTCAGACCCCCAAACATACACGTACAAACGCACTTACATAAATACACTTACATAATTGGTCGCATTTGGAGGTGATCGTTAAGCGGGGGTCCACTGTACTTGAGTGTACGGTGAAAGTCATGGCCTGTGTCACATACAATATAGAACTGTATTCCCACATTATGCCACATTTATACAGTAATGGGAGACAAGTGTATGTTGAAGGCCTCTAACAGGAAGGAATTGGAACTAATATTCTATTACATTCCATCAGAGGCACCAACTATACCCCAACTGACCTCCTTCCTTGGGCCCAGGCGCTGCAACCCAGTTGTAACCCAACTGACAGTTGTTTAACACAATTTAAGCCAACAGGTTATTAGAAACATCTTAATAGCAAAAAACAATTCCCCAAAAAACAGGAAAATGTCATTAGGGTTTTTTTTATGAGTCTACTAAGAATTTACCATAAATAATGTAGGGTCAATAAAACAAAAGCAATTAACAGAACAATAACTTGGCTCCGAGAGAAACATTTCCACCACCAGCGACTTTATCAATAAAAGTCCCTCAATTTTCTTAATAAGTTGAAAATATCATGTTAAAAAATGTCGTAAATTGAAAATATTGTAAGTTGCACAATTGTAAATCCAAAATATCGTAAGTGAAACCATTGTAAAGTCATAATATCATAAGTTGAATCATCATAGAGTCAAAATACAGTGGACCCCCGCATAACGATCACCTCAGAATGCGACCAATTATGTAAGTGTATTTATGTAAGTGCGTTTGTACGTGTATGTTTGGGGGTCTGAAATGGACTAATCTACTTCACAATATTCCTTATGGGAATAAATTCGGTCAGTACTGGCACCTGAACATACTTATGGAGTGAAAAAATTATCGTTAACCAGGGGTCCACTGTATTCTAAGTCAAACCATTATAAAGTGAACCTTTATAAGTAAGTCAACCATTTATAAGTAATAATTGAACTGCAATACTGACCCCCAACCTACGATAGCCAGGAATGGTCGAATTCGCAGCACAAAACAGAGTGAGCGCCATCGCAGCAGGAACAGTGTGATGGCCAGTATGGCCGTCCAGAGTCGCGAGGAAAACACACCCCAGGAGAAGAGTACAAACTGTAGGTACAACTTCCAGGTGTGAGTACAGTCTAGTACCGACCACAAGAGTGCTCCTGCAAGAAGAGAATGTGATTAATGATGCAAACAGTGCTCCTGTAACAAGAGGACATGACAATGTTGCACACACAGCTACTTCTCCTGGGTAATCCCATCTACCAGCAGCAGTGTTTGGTCTACTGGACCATCCCTAGGGCATGACCTACTTCCATTGGGTAATCCCATCTACCAGTAGCAGTGTCTTGGTCTACTGGACCATCCCTAGGGCATGACCTACTTCCATTGGGTAATCCCACCAACCAGTAGCAGTGTCTTGGTCTACTGGACCATCCCTAGGGCATGACCTACTTCCATTGGGTAATCCCACCTACTAGTAGCAGTGTCTTGGTCTACTGGACCATCCCTAGGGCATGACCTACTTCCATTGGGTAATCTCACCTACTAGTAGCAGTGTTTTGGTCTACTGGACCATCCCTAGAGCATGACCTACTTCCATTGGGTAATCCCACCTACTAGTAGCAGTGTCATGGTCTACTGGACCATCCCTAGAGCATGACCTACTTCCATTGGGTAATCCCATCTACCAGTAGCAGTGTCTTGGTCTACTGGACCATCCCTAGGGCATGACCTACTTCCATCGGGTAATCCCACCAACCAGCAGCAGTGTCTTGGTCTACTGGACCATCCCTAGGGCATGACCTACTTCCATTGGGTAATCCCACCTACTAGTAGCAGTGTCTTGGTCTACTGGACCATCCCTAGGGCATGACCTACTTCCATTGGGTAATCCCACCAACCAGCAGCAGTGTCTTGGTCTACTGGACCATCCCTAGGGCATGACCTACTTCCATTGGGTAATCCCACCTACTAGTAGCAGTGTCTTGGTCTACTGGACCATCCCTAGGGCATGACCTACTTCCACTGGGTAATCCCACCTACCAGTGACAATGTCTTGGTCCGCTACACCTCCTACACCTGATGCCAGCATATGGCAGAACTCCCTTATGCAATGATCCGGTATTTGTGGATTCAGTTATCCATGGTTTACTGTGGCCCAAAAATCCTCTTAGTTTTGCATAATAATGAAGACAAAACACAAAAGTAGTGATGGTGACAGTTGTTCAAAGTAGTGATGGTGACAGTTGTTCAAAGTAGTGATGGTGACAGTTGTTCAAAGTAGTGATGGTGACAGTTGTTCAAAGTAGTGATGGTGACAGTTGTTCAAAGTAGTGATGGTGACAGTTGTTCAAAGTAGTGATGGTGACAGTTGTTCAAAGTAGTGATGGTGACAGTTGTTCAAAGTCTAAGAGAAGTTGTGAAGTTCTTCCCATCAGTGAAAAAGTGATAATTCTCCACTTATTGTGCACAATTTATCAATTATACTTTATAACAGATATGTATAGGACTTATATATAGTGTTTGCTACTATCCAGGGTTTCAGTATCCACGGCAGGTCCTTGGAGAGTATCCCTCGAGGGTACGGGCGTGTCCTACTGTATAAGCACCAACTTTCTTACCTGTACTCTAGACTCTTCACCAACACCACGACTGAGGGATTGATTACCTTGTCTTCCGTACATACTTCTTCAATCTTCCCATTTTGTTCTTGAATTTGTATACCTGTACTATACCTGGGGAGGGTTCCAGGGGTCAACGTCCCTACGGCCCAGTCTGTGTCTAGACCTCATGGTGGGTCAGGGCCTCATCAACCAGGCTGTTACTGTTGGCCACATGCAACCCGACATACGAACCACTGCCCGGCTGGTCAGGTACTGACTTTAGGTGCCTGTCCAGCGCCTTCTTGAAGACAATCTGGGGTCTATTGGTAATCCCCTTTATATGTGCTTGGAGGCAACTGAACAGCCTTGGGCCCTTGACAACTATTGTGTTGTCTCTTATCATGCTAGTGACACCCCATGTCACCAGCATGTATCTCTCTCACCTGCATTCCAGGGAGTACAGGTTCAGGAACTTCAAGCGTTCCCAGTAATTGAGGTGTTTTATCTCCGTTATGCGCGCCATGAAGGTTCTCTGTACATTTTCTAGGTCAGCAATTTCACCTGCCTTGAAATGTGCTGTTAGAGTGCAGCAATATTCCAGCCTAGATAGAACAAGTGACCTGAAGAGTGTCATCATGGGCTTGGCATCCCTAGTTCTGAAGGTTCTCATTATCCATCCTGTCATTTTTCTAGCAGATGCGATTGATACAATGTTATGGTCCTTGAAGGTGAGATCCTCCGACATGATCACCCCCAGGTCTTTGACGTTAGTTTTTTGCTCTGTTGTGTGGTTGGAATTTGTTTTATACCCTGATTAAGTTTTAATTTCCTCATGTTTTCCCTATTGGAGTAATTGAAATTTCTCATCATTGAATTTCATGTTGTTTTCTGCGGCCATTGAAAGATTTGGTTGATGTCCGCCTGGAGTCTTGCAGTGTCTTCAACGGAGGACACTGTCATGCAAATTCAGGTGTCATCTGCAAAGGAAGACATGGTGCTGTAGCTTATATCAATGTATATGAGGATGAGGAACAAGATGGGAGCAAGTACTGTGCCTTGTGGAGCAAAGCTTTTCACCGCAGCCGCCTCAGATTTTACTCTGTTTACTACTACTCTTTGAGTTCTATTTGTTAGGAAATTATAGATCCATCTACCAACTTTTCCTGTTATTCTTTTACCATGCATTTTGTGTGCTACTACACCATGGTCACACTTATCAAAGGCTTTTGCAAAGTCTGTGTATATTACATCTACATTTTGTTTGTCTTCTAGAGCATCCAGAACTTTGTCATAGTGGTCCAGTAGCTGGGACAGACAGGGGCGACCTGATCTAAACCCACGTTGCCCTGGGATTTTTAATTAATGGTAGACAGCAACCACCCAGGGAGGTACTACCGTCCTGCCAAGTGAGTGTAAAACTGAAGCCTGTAATTGTTTTACACGATGGTAGGATTGCTGGTGTCTTTTTTTTTCTGTCTCATACACATGCAAGATTTCAGGTATGTCTTGCTACTTCTACTTACACTTAGGTCACACTACACATACATGTACAAGCATATATATACATACCCCTTTGAGTTTTCTTCTATTTTCTTTTTAGTTCTTGTTTCTTGTTTATTTCCTCTTACCTCCATGGGGAAGTGGAACAGAATTCTTCCTCCGTAAGCCATGTGTGTTGTAAGAGGCGACTAAAATGCCGGGAGCAAGGGGCTAGTAACCCCTTCTCCTGTATGTATTACTAAATGTAAAAAGATAAACTTTTGTTTTTCCTTTTGGGCCACCCCGCCTCGGTGGGATACGGCCGGTGTGTTGAAAGGAAAAAAGGAGAAACTTTTGTTTTTCCTTTTGGGCCACCCCGCCTCGGTGGGATACGGCCAGTGTGTTGAAAGAAAGTATCTAGATGGGTGGTGATCTTGCTTCTTAGAACCCTTTCAAAGATTTTTATGATATGGAACGTTAGTGCTATCAGTGTGTAGTTCTTTGTTATTGCTTTACTGCCACCTTTGTGGAGTGGGGCTATGTCTGTTGTTTTTAGTAACTGTGAGACAACCCGTGTCCATGCTCCTTCTCCATAGAATGTTAAAAGCACATGACAGGGGCTTCTTGCAATTTTTAATGAACACAGAGTTCCTTGAGTCTGGGCCTGGATGGCAAAACATCTACAATAGATACCCAGATGTTGCACATGTGTCTAATTTTCATCTTGGAAAAGTGCCAGACACTTGAAGTGGGCTTACCTCAACAATCAACACCTTGGGACAGTGCAGGACACACAGTAATAAAGTGCCAGACACTTGAAGTGGACTTACCTAGACAAGCAACACCTTGAGACAGTGCCAGACACATAGTAATAAAGTGAGGCACTTTATTCCACTTGCGACTAAGACAAAACACCGCCAGCACCCACGACTGTCGAAAATAAACCAATTATTACAATTATATATTATTATATTATACCAAGAATATATTAAAGCCAGGATACATTAAAGACAGGATATTAAAGCCAGGATACATTAAAGACAGGATATATTAAAGCCAGGATACATTAAAGACAGGATATATTAAAGCAAGAATATATTATAGCCAGGATAAATTTTGTCAGTGTCACGTACCGTGCAAATAAGACCCAGGATGCTGACATTAAAGAGGACAGACTCCAGCTCCTGGACATAGTCCATGGGGTTGATCTTGACCAGAGTCACCATCTTGGCTGAGACAAACATCAGTGGCGCTGACAGGAAGGTACACGCCACCATGGCACTTGCTACCTGGAAAAACACCTCTGTTTTGAGTTTTTGTTGATTAATTGGCCGTTTTGGGCGATTCAGAAAATAGAACAGTTTTAAGATTATTCACTCTATTACCAACTTGCTAGAGGCGCCAAGAGGAAGGTACACACCACCATGGCATTTGCTACCTGTGGAAAACACCATTTTTGTTTTTTAGTTTTTATTGACACGTCAGCTATTTTCGGCAACCCAAAAAAGAAGAAACAGCTTTATCATTCACTCCATCACTGTCTGGCCAGAGGTGTTCCCTGGCCAATGCTAGGCCAGTAGGCCTCCTGCAGTGCTGATATAGTTGTCACTACAGTAAAGGATTATATTTATATATATATAATACTGTTCTAGGTAGTAGGTTGGTAGACAGCAACCGCCCAGGGAGGTACTACCGTCCTGCCAAGTGAGTGTAAAACTGAAGCCTGTAATTATTTTACATGATGGTAGGATTGCTGGTGTCTTTTGTCTGTCTCATGAACATGCAAGGTTTCAGGTACATCTTGCTACTTCTACTTACACTTAGGTCACACTACACATACATGTACAAGCATATATATACACAACCCTTTGGGTTTTCTTCTATTTTCTTTCTAGTTCTTGTTCTTGTTTATTTCCTCTTACCTCCATGGGGAAGTTGAACAGAATTCTTCCTCCGTAAGCCATGTGTGTTGTAAGAGGCGACTAAAATGCCGGGAACAAGGGGCTAGTAACCCCTTCTCCTGTATATATTACTAAATGTAAAAGGAGAAACTTTCGTTTTTCCTTTTGGGCCGCCCCGCCTCGGCGGGATACGGCCTGTGTGTTGAAAGAAAGAAAGATATAATACTGTATATATATTGTATTCTGAGCACCTCTGCAAAAACAGTGATTATGTGTGATTGAGGTGAAAGTGTTGAATGATGAAAGTACTTTCTTTTTGGGGATTTTCCTTCTTTTTGGGTCACCCTGCCTCTGTGGGAGACAGCCAACTTGTTAAAAAAAAATACACACACACACATACACACACAGGAGAAAGGGTTACTAGGTTGGTAGACAGCAACCACCCAGGGAGGTACTACCGTCCTGCCAGGTGAGCTTAAAACGAAAACTTGTAATTGTTTACATAATGGTAGGATTGCTGGTGTCTTTTTTCTCTCATAAATATGCAAGATTTCAGGTACATCTTGCTACTTCTACTTACACTTAGGTCACACTACACATACATGTACAAGCATATATACACACCCCTCTGGGCTTTCTTTTATTTTCTTACTAGTTCTTGTTCTTGTTTATTTCCTCTTACCTCCGTAAGCCATGCATGCTGTAAGAGGCGACTAAAATGCCGGGAGCAAGGGGTTAGTAACCCCTTCTCTTGTATAAATTACTAAATTTAAAAAGAGAAACTTTCGTTTTTCCTTTAAGGCCACACTGCCTTGGTGGGATACGGCCGGTTTGTTAAAAAAAATATATATCTTTCTTTCAACACACCGGCCGTATCCCACCGAGGCGGGGTGGCCGAAAAGGAAAAACGAAAGTTTCTCGTTTTGCATTTAGTAATACGTATATACAGGAGAAGAGGTTACTAGCCCCTTGCTCCCGGCATTTTAGTCGCCTCTTACAACACACATAAAAATATATATATACAGTATATATATATAAATTTTATCTGGTCATTGTCCTCTATGGCAGGGTGATTCAAGTATAGAGGAAACACATTTACCATCATTCGTTAAGTTGCTGTCTTGTTAAAGTGTGCTGGTGTGAGTACAAGGACTGTACTCCCACCTCCAGGACTCCTTCAGAGTACAGGCACTGTACTTCCTACCTCCAGAACTCCTTCAGAGTACAGGCACTACTTCCTACCTCTTGGAGTTTTTCAGAGTACAGGCACTGTACTTCCTACCTTCAGGACTCCTTCAGAGTACAGGCACTGTACTTCCTACCTCCAGAACTCCTTCAGAGTACAAGCACTGTACTTCCACCTAAAGAACTGTAACATCCTCACTCATCCTTCAGAGTACAGGCACTGTACTTCTTACCTCCAGAACTACTTCAGAGTATAGGCACTGTACTTCCTACCTCCAGGACTCCTCCAGAGTACAGCCACTGTACTTCCCACCTCCAGGACTCACCAGATCAACAGCAATATTATATTGCGATGCGAAGACGAAGACACCAGGAGCCGTAGGGAAGGTGCCGTACAGGAAGCCATAATTACTGAAGTCTGCTGTCTCATTGGCGTCATTCCCGGGGTGAAGAAGTCCGACGATCAACCGTGTCGTCAATGGAAGGAACAGCCTAGGGCGGAATGACTACTGTAAGTCATTTATAAATATAGGTGGGCCTCAATTTGTGCCAAAAATGAATTCTGGGAATTGGTTGAACTTTTTAAATTTACGCGATTCAAATTATTGACCTTTGTGTAAGTGGTATGTGTAATTGGTATGTGTAGTTGCTATGTGTAGTTGCTATGTGTAGTTGCTATGTGTAGTTGCTATGTGTAGTTGCTATGTGTAGTTGCTATGTGTAGTTGCTATGTGTAGTTGCTATGTGTAGTTGCTATGTGTAGTTGCTATGTGTAGTTGCTATGTGTAGTTATGTGTAGGTGCTATGTGTAGCTCCTATGTCTATGCTATTTTATTACATATCACTACATTTTGCATACTTCAGAGAAGAAATACAGTATTGTATATTGTGTAACTGATCTATAACCTGAGTCACTCACGTTTTGGTAGCTATGAGGATGCTAGGAATGACCAGACCAGAGCCCCGGAGGGTTTGGACCTTGCCGACCATCCGTAGACCTAGGAGAAATAGGGCCGCTGCGGAAAAAGCCTGTCCGAACACCTGCAACAGAGGACTGTGGTCTATCATCGTTGATGTGGTGACCTTGTGTCTTCACAAGATGGTCACCGGGGGTCAGCAACTTACTGTGGGGTCACAATGAACCCCCATCGTAACTTGAAAAATGTAAGTTGTCAATGTAGTAAGTTGAAAAATGCAAGTTGAAAATGTAGTAAGTTGAAAAATGTAAGTTTTAAATACAGTGGACCCCCGGTTAACGATATTTTTTCATTCCAGAAGTATGTTCAGGTGCCAGTACTGACCGAATTTGTTCCCATAAGGAATATTGTGAAGTAGATTAGTCCATTTCAGACCCTCAAACATACACATACAAACGCACTTACATAAATACACTTACATAATTGGTCGCATTGGGAGCTGATCGTTATGCGGGGGTCCACTGTATTATAAGTCTAAAATATTGTAAATCTAAAATATTGTAAATCTAAAATATTGAAATATTAAGTCTAAAATATCATAAGTCTAAGAAATCCTAATTCTAAAAAACCCTTAGTCTAAAATATCCTAAGTCTAAAAAATCCTAAGTCTAAAATATCCTAGGTCTAAAATATCCTAAATCTAAAATATCCTAAATCTAAAATATCCTAAGTCTAAAATATCCTAAGTCTAAAATACCCTAAGTCTAAAATATCCTAAGTCTAACCATTGTAAGTCGAGGACCACCTGTACTCTGCAATGGAGTACTTGTCTGTAATGGAGTACCTGTACTCTGTAATGGAGTACCTGTACTCTGTAATGGAGTACCTGTACTCTGTAATGGAGTACCTGTACTCTGTAATGGAGTACCTGTACTCTATAATGGAGTACCTGTACTCTGTAATGGAGTACTTGTACTCTGTAATGGAGTACTTGTACTCTGTAATGGAGTACCTGTACTCTGTAATGGAGTACTTGTACTCTGTAATGGAGTACCTGTACTCTGTAATGGAGTACTTGTACTCTGTAATGGAGTACAGATAAAAAAACAAAAAGTAAATCCTCATAATATCTTAATAAACCTCTTCTGTCTAAGAATAATAATTAATAAGGTTACGCACCTTTAAGACGCCCTCCAAAATGTTTGGGAGTTTGTGATTGAAAATAAAGTTACCCATGATACCCAGGGTGGTCATGAGTACTATGGGGTTGAGCAGCACATCTCGAAGAATCTGAAGACACAGACGACATCTGCCCTCGCTTGAGGATGAGGCGCCTTCATCGCCATCATTTTGGCTATGTTTACGTCGTTTCCCAACCTGCGGTACATAGAAGGATCTGTAATGTTCAGATCTATATATTTTAACGTACAGATCTCTACATTTTAAAATTCGGGTCTCTATTTCACTGTACGGATCTGTATTTTAATGTAAGGATCTCTACATTTCAATATAAGAATCTCCACGTTTCGATGTCCGGATCTCCACATTTCAATTTACAACCACTTGAAACACGGTACTATATACAGTGGACCCCCGGTTTACGATATTATTTCATTCCAGAAGTATGTTCAGGTGCCATTACTGAACGAATTTGTTCCCATAAGGAATATTGTGAATTAGATTAGCCCATTTCAGACCCCCAAACATACACGTACAAACGCACTTACATAAATACACTTACATATTTGGTCGCATTGGGAGCTGATCGTAAAGCGGGGGTCCACTGTATAAGCAATCAATTAGTCACTGCCTTATTAATGTTAAGTTTGGGTGGCCCGTGGCCTGGTAGGTAAAGCTCTGGCTTTACATAGTAAGGGTCCGGGTTTGATTCCCATCAGTAAAATAGGTACCTGGGTGTTGGTGGACTGGTGTGGGTCGCATCCTGGGATAAAATTGACCTAATTTGCAAGAAATGCTCTTCATAACAAGGGGCTTTCTATATAATAGTATGTCGTTGGTGACAGCTATGGTCTGTATACCTTGTACATGTTATTTATTATTTATTATCACACTGGCCGATTCCCACCAAGGCAGGGTGGCCTGAAAAAGAAAAACTTTCACCATCATTCACTCCATCACTGTCTTGCCAGAAGGGTGCTTTACACTACAGTTTTTAACCTGCAACATTAACACCCCTCCTTCAGAGTGCAGGCACTGTACTTCCCATCTCCAGGACTCAAGTCCGGCCTGCCGGTTTCCCTGAACCCCTTCATAAATGTTACTTTGCTCTCACTCCAACAGCACGTCAAGTATTAAAAACCATTTGTCTCCATTTACTTCTATCAAACACGCTCAAGCATGCCTGCTGGAAGTCCAAGCCCCTCGGGCACAAAACCTCCTTTACCCCCTCCCTCCAACCTTTCCTAGGCCGACCCCTACCCCGCCTTCCTTCCACTACATACTGATACACTCTTGAAGTCACTCTGTTTCACTCCATTCTCTCTACATGTCCGAACCACCTCAACAACCCTTCCTCAGCCCTCTGGACAACAGTTTTGGTAATCCCGCACCTCCTCCTAACTTCCAAACTACGAATTCTCTGCATTATATTCACACCACACATTGCCCTCAGACATGACATTTCCACTGCCTCCAGCCTTCTCCTCGCTGCAACATTCATCACCCATGCTTCACACCCATATAAGAGTGTTGGTAAAACTATACTCTCATACATTCCCATCTTTGCCTCCAAGGACAAAGTTCTTTGTCTCCACAGACTCCTAAGTGCACCACTCACCCTTTTCCCCTCATCAAATCTATGATTCAACTCATCTTTCATAGACCCATCCGCTGACACGTCCACTCCCAAATATCTGAATACATTCACCTCCTCCATACTCTCTCCCTCCAATCTGATATCCAATCTTTCATCACCTAATCTTTTTGTTATCCTCATAACCTTACTCTTTCCTGTATTCACTTTTAATTTTCTTCTTTTGCACACCCTACCAAATTCATGCACCAATCTCTGCAACTTCTCTTCAGAATCTCCCAAGAGCACAGTGTCATCAGCAAAGAGCAACTGTGACAACTCCCACTTTGTGTGATTCTTATCTTTTAACTCCACGCCTCTTGCCAAGACCCTCGCATTTACTTCTCTTACAACCCCATCTATAAATATATTAAACAACCACGGTGACATCACACATCCTTGTCTAAAGCCTACTTTTACTGGGAAATAATTTCCCTCTTTCCTACATACTCTAATTTGAGCCTCACTATCCTCGTAAAAAACTCTTCACTGCTTTCAGTAACCTACCTCCTACACCATACACCTGCAACATCTGCTACATTGCCCCCCTATCCACCCTGTCATACGCCTTTTCCCAAAATCCATAAATGCCACAAAGACCTCTTTAGCCTTATCTAAATACTGTTCACTTATATGTTTCACTGTAAACACCTGTCCACACACCCCCTAACCTTTCCTAAGGCCTCCTTGTTCATCTGCTTTCCTATTCTCCATCTTATCTAAATTCTTTCAATAATAACTCTACCATACACTTTACCAGGTATACTCAACAGACTTATCCCCCTATAATTTTGCACTCTCTTTTGTCCCCTTTGCCTTTATACAAAGGAACTATGCATGCTCTCTTCGCCAATCCCTAGGTACCTTACCCTCTTCCATACATTTATTAAATAATTGCACCAACCACTCCAAAACTATATCCCCACCTGCTTTTAACATTTCTATCTTTATCCCATCAATCCCGGCTGCCTTACCCCCTTTCATTTTACCTACTGCCTCACGAACTTCCCCCACACTCACAACGGCTCTTCCTCACTCCTACAAGATGTTATTCCTCCTTGCCCTAAAACACGAAATCACAGCTTCCCTATCTTCATCAACATTTAACAATTCCTCAAAATATTCCCTCCATCTTAGCAATACATCAAATCTCCATTTAATAACTCTCCTCTCCTATTTTTAACTGACAAATCCATTTGTTCTCTAGGCTTCCTTAACTTGTTAATCTCACTCCAAAACTTTTTCTTATTTTCAACAAAATTTGTTGATAACATCTCACCCACTCTCTCATTTGCTCTCTTTTTACATTGCTTCACCACTCTCTTAACCTCTCTCTTTTTCTCCCTATACTCTTCCCTCCTTGCATCACTTCTACTTTATAAAAAATTCTCATATGCTAACTTTTTCTCCCTTACTACTCTCTTCACATCATCATTCCACCAATCGCTCCTCTTCCCTCCCGCACCCACTTTCCTGTAACCACAAACTTCTGCTGAACACTCTAACACTACATTTTTAAACCTACCCCATACCTCTTCGATCCCATTGCCTATGTTCTCATTAGCCCATCTATCCTCCAATAGCTGTTTATATCTTTCCCTAACTGCCTCCTCTTTTAGTTTATAAACCTTCACCTCTCTCTTCCCTGATGCTTCTATTCTCTTTGTATCCCATATACCTTTTACTCTCAGTGTAGCTACAAATAGAAAGTGATCTGATATATCTGTGGCCCCTCTATAAACATGTACATCCTGAAGTCTACTCAACAGTCTTTTATCTACCAATACATAATCCAACAAACTACTGTCATTTCGCCCTACATCATATCTTGTATACTTATTTATCCTCTTTTTCTTAAAATATGTATTACCTATAACTAAACCCCTTTCTATATGTACTTGTAGAAATAAAGATCTTCTTTGAACGCACCAACCTACTACCACAGGATGGTAGTAGGTTGGTGCACCAACCTTCTACCACAAGATGGTACTACCTCCCTGGGTGGTTGTTGTCTACCAACCTACTACCACAGGATGGTAGTACCTCCCTGGGTGTTGTTGTCTACCAACCTACTACCACAGGATAGTAGTACCTCCCTGGGTGGTTGTTGTCTACCAACCTACTACCACAGGATGGTAGTACCTCCCTGGGTGGTTGTTGTCTACCAACCTACTACCACAGGATGGTAGTACCTCCCTGGGTGGTTGCTGTCTACCAACCTACTACCACGGAATGGTAGTACCTCCCTGGGTGGTTGTTGTCTACCAACCTACTACCACAGGATGGCAATACCCCCCTGGGGGGTTGTTGTCTACCAACCTACTACCACAGGATGGTAGTACCTCCCTGGGTGGTTGTTGTCTACCAACCTACTACCACAGGATGGTAGTACCTCCCTGGGTGGTTGTTGTCTACCAACCTACTACCACAGGATGGTAGTACCTCCCTGGGTGGTTGTTGTCTACCAACCTACTACCACAGGATGGTAGTACCTCCCTGGGTGGTGGTTGTCTACCAACCTACTACCACAGGATGGTAGTACCTCCCTGGGTGGTTGTTGTCTACCAACCTACTACCACAGGATGGTAGTACCTCCCTGGGTGGTTGTTGTCTACCAACCTACTACCACAGGATGGTAGTACCTCCCTGGGTGGTTGTTGTCTACCAACCTACTACCACAGGATGGTAGTACCTTCCTGGGTGGTTGTTGTCTACCAACCTACTACCACAGGATGGTAGTACCTCCCTGGGTGGTTGTCTACCAACCTACTACCACAGGATGGTAGTGCCTCCCTGGGTGGTTGCTGTCTACCAACCTACTACCAAAGGATGGTAGTACCTCCCTGGGTGGTTGTTGTCTACCAACCTACTACCACAGGATGATAGTACCTCCCTGGATGGTTGTTGTCTACCAACCTACTACCACAGGATGGTAGTACCTCCCTGGGTGGTTGTCTACCAACCTACTACCACAGGATGGTAGCACCTTCCTGGGTGGTTGTTGTCTACCAACCTACTACCACAGGATGGTACTAGCTCCCTGGGTGGCTGTTGTCTACCAACCTACTACCACAGGATGGTATTACCTCCCTGGGTGGTTGTGGTCTACCAACCTACTACCACAGGATGATAGTACCTCCCTGGGTGGTTGTTGTCTACCAACCTACTAACACAGGACGGTAGTACCTCCCTGGGTGGTTGTTGTCTACCAACCTACTACCACAGGATGGTAGTACCTCCCTGGGTGGTTGTCTACCAACCTACTACCACAGGATGGTAGTACCTCCCTGGGTGGTTGTTGTCTACCAACCTACTACCACAGGATGGTAGTACCTCCCTGGGTGGTTGTCTACCAACCTACTACCACAGGATGGTACTACCTCCCTGGGTGGTTGTTGTCTACCAACCTACCACAAGATGGTACTACCTCCCTGGGTGGTTGTCTACCAACCTACTACCACAGGATGGTAGTACCTCCCTGGGTGGTTGTTGTCTACCAACCTACTACCACAGGATGGTACTACCTCCCTGGGTGGTTGTTGTCTACCAACCTACTACCACAGGA